GATGCAAGGACGCAGCTGGCAGGAGGACACGCCACAGGACACGTTACCCGGCAGCATCTACTTGCAATGTACACATAGTCCGAGGTGTGCCCATCCAGGGCTGATGCAAGGACGCAGCTGGCAGGAGGACACGCCACAGGACACGTTACCCGGCAGCATCTACTTGCAATGTACACATAGTCCGAGGTGTGCCCATCCAGGGCTGATGCAAGGACGCAGCTGGCAGGAGGACACGCCGCAGGACACGTTACCCGGCAACATCTACTTGCAATGTACACATAGTCCGAGGTGTGCCCATCCAGGGCTGATGCAAGGACGCAGCTGGCGCGTGGCCTGTAACGTGGACAGACTACTCTCAGAATCCCTTGGAAAACATTGTATTGGCAGATGGTGACCAAATGTCGCGTTGCCAGACTGCTCTTCAAGCACGGCAAAGCTGAGAAAGAACGATATTCGGCGTCGTTGGGAAAGAAGCACCATGACATTCCGTTAGCTGACCATACTCAGCAACCGGAGCCAGGTGCTCATCCTGAAGCCGCGTCTGAAACTTCTTCGGGATGCCAATGGTGCTAGGAGAACTTGGCCTTCAGGGCTGCCGACATTCAAAGTGCGCCAGCGTCTTCTGAATACCAATGAAATGGCCAGAGGTCCCCGTAGTTCAGCGCTTGAATGCTATCGCTGCAACAATTAAATGCTTCGGGGCCAAATTGTTAACGAGGAGGCTGAACGTGCCTCATCTACCAGATACTTCGGGCTCTAACCAGGCGCGGAAAGACTCTTTTAGGATGGTTCTGCGGTGGCAGCCTTGGAGCTGCCTTACAACTCTCTGCCTGCGCCAGCGCTCACAATCCATAACAGCTTTTCATTCAAGTCTCTCACCCAACGCCCAAAACCGAATCACCGAACGTGGAATTGCGTAGAATCTGGCGACATAGGCTGGGTCCATAGCTGACACTTTCCCCGTCGGTACACTTCTTTGACACATTCGTCTGCCTATCCATGTGCGACTAGCTGTCATTTGGCCTATTTGCCCACTGACAGAGGTTCCCTTTGGCGATGTACTTTTCTTTTCGGAACACATTTGCTCTTTGCTCCTCTGGGAAGCAAGCTAATTTCAAAGCTGTTAAACGGCTCTCATATGTCGGCTTGATGAATGCCGGAGTTCAGAGTGTGATAAATATTTATAGCCTTCGCGTCAAGTGCTGCGAACACAAACTCATGCATCAAGCAGTTGGCTTAAAATTTGGGATTCATTTTATAAGCTTTAGTTTTAAAGCTAGGGGTGCTTTAGGCTTTTCAAATAGGAATAGCAAGTGCATTCGGCTTTAGGTAGGAGGAGTGGCACTGAACAACGCTTATACGCGGCGGAAATACTCCACGCAAATCTGACGGTCATCAGCACCCTTCCAGAGCTCTTGGTGTCTGTTGCCATGGATGATGCCGATGAAACGCTGCGACCATCCTTCTGCGTATGTTATGGGCCCACGAATTAGCTGCGCGCCGTCCTAAGCACTACTTCTCTACCTCAAGGGGTACAAATTCTACGCAGCATTTCTGTTTCCGACTGATTCAACTTCACTTCAAGCAGCAGTGAGGCAATATATTGATCACTTGAAAAGGGCCACAACTGGTGGAACCAATGCACCATTCTATCAAATTATCTGTATGTCCAGCTATACTATATAGCATGCTTTGGAAGATTTGAAACTGTACTTTTGAAGCAAGACTCAAGATAAATGTGGCTAATGTGGCCCGACACTGCCGACGTGTGTCTCTGAAAAAGCAAAGCTTGGGGACGGACCCATTGTTTCCCATGTCTGGATTGGGAATCCTTAAAATATAACAATTTGTCTTTATTGGTGAAAGCGCTACGGCGACAGGTCTGTCAAAAAAGAAAAATAGCTCACGTTGCCCCGAGCTACTCTTGGTTATGAAAACAACGGTACACTGCGATTCCCATCCCGCTGATCCGATTAGGACATCACTGTACCTCCGAAGCTCTCTTTGCTATCATCAGGTCTCAAGTTTTTGCCCACATTTTGCACTGCTTGCCAGCCTGGGCTGGCTCTGCCGAGAGCCAGCTGGAACGCGTCAAAACATTATTAACTCCTGCAGGCCGAGTGGTGGCAGAGGCCGGGCGCGCTGGGCCCATGCCGTGGGTTCACCGGCCGCTGGGGTGGCCCATCGTCGCCTTAAGGCTTTTCAACCCCGTCGAGACCCTCGGTGGGTCAGACCGGGCCAGCTTGCTCTGTCCAGAATCAGGCTATAAGGCACTCGGCGAGTGTACTGAAGTGTTCGTTGTTCTCGTGCTCTGCCGCCCCTGAGTGAAATCACCCGCCTTTTGCCGCCTTTCTTGTCATTACGTCGCAGTTTCAAGCATGTCTCGGGAACGAAAGGAGCGATCACCAGCGACTTGTCTTAGTGGGGTGTTAGATGGTTTCATGACGTATCTATGCGCATAAGTCTTTCGTGTTCGAACGCTTCGGTGCAATAATAAGGGCAGTTAAAACGTCCGAAACCGTCTGAAGTTCTTGAAATGCGTCGTCTCGTCATCATAAGACCTCTTCTTCACGTTATGACATTCAAAACATACCCTCCAACTGTCATGACGCTATGCTTATGAAAGAAGACAACCTCATAATCCCGTTCGATGTCACGTGCTGGTGTATTGCCGCTGCCCGGAACGCATGGGCAGCACACAGGGTGAGCTGTCGTAAAATCGGCAAAGTGGCTGCGTTGTGAGCGGATGTCTGTAATACGGGCAAGCAGCCTTAGTTCCACTTAGATGTCATCCTCTTCTTCCGAACAGCGTGCGGAGTTGCGTGTAAGTTTCACGTGCCTGGGCAGCAAGTTGGACTGCCGTCTGTTTGTTCTCCCCTTTTGCACCAGCAAACGCCCCAGCATTGGAGGAGCAACATACCTGACCTTGCGCGTAGGCACATCTGTGCGTTTGGGGAACGTCTATAATATTGTGAAATGGTCCACAAGGCGTTTTCTTGGCGTTACCGGTATGGGTTGCTTGTTTTTTTGCTAAAACCTGGCCAGATCGTCCTCAGTGGTGCTTTCCGTCAGATCCAGAGCCCCGACGAACGGCACGATCCTTATCCGGATCGACCCCACTCACATGTCACATGGCTGCAAATCGCGTAATCCGCCACGCCGATTGTAGATGGGAAACCAAATCGCACTGAGTGCGCGTTGGATCCACAGCATTTTCGCTGCACATTTGACTCTGAACTAGGACTACACAACAGGGCAGTTGCGCGGCGTGTCTCCGTCATGGCCCACTGAAAAGGGAGAGTCTGAAAAAACCGGCATAGCGGATTGGTGAAGGTAAGGCATTGGAACAAATGAATGGCAGAGCTTGTATCCCAACTAAGGCTTAAAAATCCGGCATCTAATGGGCGCAGCCTCTACTCTTGACCCCCCCCCCCCCCGCCCCCTCTCCCCACTCCACAAGAGCTCCCGCAGAGGCAGTTCTCCAGCGCCAGTGTGCCACGTCTAAAGGATAGTGAAGATGGGTGGTGCTGTGGGGGAGGGGGGAGGGAGGACTAGCCTCCGGCTGACCTTTGTGAGCTGCCGACTGGCGTTAGTTACATCAGTCAGTAGCCCCAAAACCTTCCATATGTCTTTAACACCATCCACTGTTTCCAGTCATTCAACTCCTTGAATTGCTATCGTGCAATGACAATAATAATGCTGCTCCGCATCAGCTCTATGCAACTTTATATTCAAGCTGTTGCACTTACGGGGCACAGCTTCTTCAGGCAAGAGCCAGTAAGAATTCTCGCAACTCGGTTAACTCATACCACTTACACATCCACCATCGTGTGTCTTTCGACATCCTACAGCTATATTTTTGTTTTGTGGAACACGCAGTGGGGCCAGAAACTTACCCAATCACCTCACCACTGTGCAAGCAGCCCTCATGCGAGCACTTCAAACCGCAATCAGGCTCGGGTTGCGCCTGTCCGAGCCGTGTTCAGAGCCAGGCCAAACCGGTTCCGTTTGCTCGGACCACACGGTCTTGTTTGCCGTGCGGGCTGCGGCGGCGGGCCGTCCGCTGGCGGCGCGGCCGGCCCCCACAACCCGCTGCAAATCGACCTGGACCCCGGGCGGTCTCGCCAGACTGGTGGGAGGCGCAGCCGTGTCGCCTGTCCGGCTGGTGATGTCTGACCGCGCTGACAGCTGAGAGGCGGGGCCACTTACCATAGTCGCTCTGTCGCCTGTGACCGGAGGAGGGGAGTTGGGGTGGAACGGGGATGGATGGAACAGGGGACGCGTCTCACGAATAATTCTGGAATATTCCACTAGAGGCGATGCACGAAACGAACGGACCTACAAGCCTGCTCCCCAGTCATCAGCCGTTTGCACTGCTCTTGCAGTGTCGGTCGTTGAACTGGCATGAGATCACGCACCCACGACTCTGCCAGCTTATGAGGCTTAAAAGCTTTGTCAATGGTCTAGACTGGTGGAAAGTGCGACTAGGTCTTCCACTGGATTAGTGTCATTTGCCTAGACTGGTCGAAAGTACGGCTTGGTCTACCGCTGAATTAATGAGGACCACTGCATCTGCATTAGCTGCTCAACCAATGGGAAATGCACATAGCTGCCAGCTGTGCGCATGTCGCATACACGGCTGCGGGCCTGGTGAAGGACATGGGCGAGTCAGCCGATGAACCGGTTATGATTGAGATGGCGATGACGAACTGGTGCCTGTTCCGCTCCTGGCCTGGGGGAGGTGCGCTCCTCCCCTGGCCTGGGGAGGTGTATCAGCCGGGCCGGTGACGAGGGGTACACCTGACACCTGCGTTCCCTGGGGAACTTTTGACAGTCGGCCGGCATCAGCTGCCGGCCTGTTGACGACACGCCTGCGCCCGTCGCTGGCCGGCCTGGACGGAGGGAGGGAGGCGGGGAGGTGCGCGGAGCCGATGCCGGGCGGACGCCGGCGGCCCGACCGCCGCCGCCGCCGCCGCCAGTGGCGCGCCAGCCGCCGAGGGGCCATGTCCACGGCGGCGGTGGCCCGCTCCCGCGGACGACGCCTGCTGTGCCTGTTGACGCTCTGCTCCCTGCTGCGGACAGGCTGCGCCGGTAACCCGGACGCCAAGCGGCTCTACGACGACCTGCTCTCCAACTACAACAAGCTGGTGCGGCCCGTCGTCAACGTCACCGATCCGCTGACGGTCAAGATCAAGCTCAAGCTCTCCCAGCTGATTGACGTGGTGAGTAGACGAACGTCAGTGAAAACCGCGTCGTCTGGCCGGGACTGTAACTGGGCCTCACCGTGGATTGGACCCTCCAGATCAGTTGCGATGACCGTTTCTTTTGCTTTGCATCTGCAAGGGCAGATTATACAAAAGAAGTACCGAAAAACTACGTGCTCTTTATTACTGTCTAGAAAGCCCTGACCCTTCCTTGCAAGGATTTCAACAATTTCGTGATGCCCCGTCTGTGCCGTAGTGCGTGGGCATTCGGTATTCGCCAAACCTCTGAGCCCTAAGGAAAGGACATCAGCCCTTGTGCAGGACATTAAAGACATTAAAAACTACATTCGGGACAAGCATTTTATGCAAAGTCATTGCAAGTGTGGCTTATAAACTGACTTGATTGATTGGTCTCATGCTACCGCCTTTCAGTTCTGATTGTCGAGACATGTCATTGCGCATGTCTACCATATCGCATCCAAGCGTCCCATTCATTTTCACCTTACCCCCTTACTCTCTGCGAGCGTGGGCGGAGCTGCCCTTTCCTGAACATTGCTCAGGTGACCTGTCGGCATCAAACGCGAAATGGTTGCAAAGGTCAGAGTCGTAAATCACGTTTGGTTGGAGACCTTCCGCACCTGTAACCTGTTTGCCGACTTTCTACCGCGGACCACAGCATTTCAAGGAACATAACCCCAAGCCGCCTCTGCAGCTCCCTCTGCGGCAGTCGGCACTGCAGTGCTTGGCAACGCTGAAAACAGCGTTCGGTCAGGAAGTGCACTCAGACATTAGCGTTATGTATCAATAAGGATAATTATATCTTGACAATGGAGGCCACAGCCGAGTTGATCTTACTACAGCTACTGGAAAATCTTCAATGTTGGCGGCCCGACTGGGTCTCTTCGTGCTTATGTGCTTATCACGGTTACTGGTTCTAGAAGATCAGCTTGTAAATCAGCGTTTGAAAAGTCAGCTTATGAGCTGATTTCTTCGCAACCGTTAACATCAAGCCAGATTGTTGAAAAAGTTGTGCCGTATACATTGGCAAGCATGTGCATGCAAAGCATTTGATCTGAGCAGACGGAATTTTCCTGCAATATCGTAATATCTTCTTATTTTATTCCTCACTCGATCCACGTGGAAAAGTTACTTTGCAAAATAAAATGTCTATGGAAACACACAACATGATGAAAAGCACGGATCTAAGCCCAGTCCACACATAGGATGGCAAGGACACGACACTAACAGTTCCGGATTCAGGACACATTCATCTTTGAAAGAGAGTGGATCGGTGTATGCGACAGCCACGCGGTCTCCATTACAAAACATGAGTCCACCCGTTTCGAGGCGTTTCCACAGATTGGTGCCAGATTTCAGCAACCAGAGCAAACGAAGGCATGCAACCAGAGTAAACGAAGGCGTGCAACCACTTGCACGGTGAAGGCGGGTGTATCGGCTACAACTCGCTGACATATCTGAAAAGTTTGCGGTCCCGAGAACTGCCTGTCATCCCCGGAGGCCGGATAATGGCGCGTTTGTTTCCGAACCGGTCACAAATGCCGGGCGTTGTGGCCAAAACTGAAAGCGATTGAACCGTAAAAACAACAAAAGCATGAAGCCTGTTTATTGTTACTAATATTCTTGCACCTCCTCCTTTTTTCCCCAAAAGTTCGCGTCTTTCGCAAAAACTTAGTTACCAGTTCCACACGGTAAATTACTGCAATTTCATGTCGATTAAATTCGATCAAAGGTTGTCAAGCTGGACAAACACCCTGCAGTCATTATTCAAGCAAAAAGCTTGCGAATTAACGCGCAAATTGTATGTCAACGGACTTTGTCCCGCTAAGTTATAATGCAACGTATATTTTTCAACGCATTGGTCAAAACCGTTGCCAAAGGTGTCTGGTCTCATCGGCATGGTTTGTAACATATCTGCATGCTGACAAGTGATAACCATCACGTCTGTTGTCACCCCACAAGTTCTACGCGACATAAGACACCTTTCTGGTCTATAGTAATTGTCAGCTGTCGTACAATCTCTTGGATGCTGGGCTAAACATGCTGAGGTAAATATAAATAAAAAGGCTAAAATCGAGCAACCAAATAATTTGTCTCCGGTCTGAAAGTTTTTCCATATCTTACTGCTGTTCGGTTTTCATCGAGGATTTCAAAATGCTTTTGTTTGGCGTTTGGGTTTTGTTTCAATTTCTTCAAATATGCGGTGTAACCCCAAGCATATCAAAAATACATGCGGGGAAATGAGCTACCACGGTGATAACCCACGCACTAATTGCGGAAGTGGAAGCCTTAGCAATGCTGTCCATAAATCAAGTGATCTAAATTGTGGCCGGTGTGCTGCAAGAGGATAGTAAATCACTTGCATTACCATTTCCACTATGGTATCCCTGCAGGAAAGGTAGTCATAAATCGCAGAACGCAGGCTGTTGGATTTCCAGGCCATTGATAGAAGTCGTCTGCAAGATCAAACCATCATCCAGTTTAGATTAATAGTCGCAGCGAATCTGTGTTGCGCTCGGCATGAACGTCATCATGTACCGTACCGATACACGCATTCAGTGCTGCAGAAATGTGATTGATGCGGGCATGTAAATTATATCGACAGACGTTTACCGACCGAGGGAAACGTCCACCGTTTCCTAAGTACGCCTTTTGAAGTACAGACGTTGTCGCAAAACACATTTGTATGCGCATATGTGAGAGAGGATGAGGGAGTGGAAATATCTCTGAACTGATTAACATACCTTTTACGACCGGGCCGCACACTGAGCCAATCTCATGACCTGTCTACACAGGGACTTTTTTTAGGCGCGCCAGACGCACGTCAAAAACAGTTGATTTCATACTAAATATGCGACATATTATAGATATCCGAGTGCACACAGGCTGGGATTTAAGACAACATGCTCGCTGCAATATAAGTTGGTCCAAATGGCTGGTCAAATTGTCTTGAACTACTCAGGCATACAAGAAAACTACAGTTGATAAATGACGGCTTATCATTTACAGATATGACATACTTGAGTTGCATGCTTGGCATTCAAGCATGCAACCAAGATCCTCGAGATCTCTCCTCTAAAATATTGTCCAACGTAACCAGACTGAATGCAGGAAAAGAAAGCATATCACGTGTAAGTGATATAGCCAGGGTGCCTTTTGGGGCCATAGTGTACCCCTAAAGATCTTCCCCAGGAACTATGTTTTGATGGGACATGGGCCTTTTAATGACGCCCCTAAGCGACGAAGAGAAGTCCTTGGCCGTAAAGGCCACCCATGATCCTATTTGGCCCCTCCTGGAGGAAACACTGACCGCACCGCCGTCCTGTGGGCGGCGGCGATAGCCATGGAAGGGCATGACGCAATCGGGAAAGGGTATGCCGCTGGCAGCTGCGCGGGTCACGTCTGAGGTCTTGCTTACTCGCCCGACGCCCGATGCGCGCCAAAAAATGCCCATGTAAACAGATCATTATTTGAAGAGTGGGCTAGTTTGAACTTTATTGACTTAGCCTAGTCCTCTTGGGCCCAGTTCTCTATCCCTTTTTTAGATTTGACAATTGGGCTTCATACAGTTTCAGGCCTTTGCGTTCGAACCTCTTGGCGAACCCTGAATCATGCGCTAACCACTACGCGTCTGAGAAACCGGAGACGCGGGGTTCGATACCCCGCGGTGCCCGCCCTTCCTGCCAGGGTGAGAGGCAAGGGACGCCATGTAGCCTCAGCAGCTGAGCGCGCCGTAAAGCCCCGATGACGAGTATCACCCGCAGGACTGCACTGTAAACAGCATATGAACCCAGGCCCATTTGAACCCCATTTGACTGATATGGGAGACGTAAAGGCTGCTACTGCGGGACGATGCGCACGGCCTGACGCGCGCTCGAGCGTAAGCAATGAGCACGCTAGTTTTTTGCGCAAGGAGAGTGTTTGGTTTATAAAAAAACTATGCAGGTATGTAGTTCATGGGGCCTGGCCTGGCCCGCGGAGCTTCAGCTTTCAAACGATGCAAGCTTTTTGGGAGATAGCGCACGAGCGCCACAAAAATTAACTTCGTCCACTAAACTCTCATCACAGGGGATTTTTCAATACAGTGATCGGGCAGTGATGAATTACAACTAAGCGAAATATTTATATCTATAACACAATGTTCAGTGAATGCAACAAGGTATCCGTATCTCTGTCTTCCCGTCCATTTGTGTCTCTGCTATTTTTGTCAGCAATTTCGAAGTTTCCGTTGACCCAGATGACTCTATATCACGGCGAAAAATGACAGCCCGGAAAGAATACTCCTAAGCCACATTGTCCACGGCCACTGCAGCTTCAAGGGACTCAGCTACCCCCAGTTTATTACCCCCGGGTATCATGGTATCATACAGTACCATGCCCCAGTGATACGTCGGCAATAGCCTTGAGCGTCCTCGCCTTACAAATCCATCACACGCAACTGAGAGCAGCGGAGCACATGTGCATACATTGGAAGTTCGTCTATGAGATCCAAAGACGGGCTATGGACCCACTCGGGCGTTAACAAGGTGCATATCCCCAGCAGCACACATTCTCTTCAAGAGCTCCTGCCGATAACCTTGAGAGCTCTCGGGGTGTTGCATATTCAACGACGTCGGGCCCTACGCGGAACGGGCGGCTGTCTGTCTCCGTGCGGAACCCCCGGGCGAGTAATGGGTCAGCCGGGTCACCCTGCCTGATGCGAGTCAAATTCGAATGGGAGCAGAGTGGCCGCGGATCCATGCGCGAACGTTTGGGAAGTTTGACATTATACAAGTTTGTGGTGGTAGCTGGAGGTGACACGTGAAAAGAAACGAATCAAAGTCATCCCCGAGCCCAGCAACGCGGGATTAGCTCCGCGTTTACGTTCTGCCTCGAGCTTTGCAAGTGTCTGGAGGCGCGTGTCTGGAACTCGCTCAGGAAAGCTGTAGGCTTACGTACATAGAACACTGGCTGGTCCCGAGTGTAACGTAGAGTTAATGATAATTAGTCTTTGCGGTGCC